TCTGACTCTTCATCCACTGGAATGGAACGAGGATGAACGAGCTCGGCGATTGGCAGCCCCACCCACGTCTGACTCTTCATCCACTGGAATGGAACGAGGATGAACGAGCTCGGCGGCCTTTTGCTTTAGCTCTTCGACCCGAGCCTCAAAAAGGTTCATTTGCCATTCCACTCCCTGATACTCCTTGAAAGAGATTAACCGGCGAAAGTCCTCCCTTTCCTGTTCACTCAATTCTCTGAGGTTGAGCCCAACCGGGCAGACCTGATGATCCGCTCGTAGCCTTAGCTTATCGACGGATCTTGCATTAGATAGATACAGCATTTTATTTGACTCATGCCTTGGAGAAGAACGTTCTTAGTTTGAGTTTGAAGTCGTTACCTTGCGGGAGCCACCTAGGGGAGACCCTTCTTTCCTTTTTTTCTGATTTCCATATGGTATGGTGAATCACTTGTTCAGTCGACTCAACACCGTGTCTGCTTCAACTTCACCCCTCGTCTCGTGTAGTGTACCAAGACTAAGAAGTGGTCAACTTCATTGTTGAACGAGCAAGTATTTCTTAGTTGCCTGTCTCTTTTTTTATTCTTCCTCCACTCACAGGGGCGAATAGAGTCTAATACACTCTTTCTTGGCTAGTGTAGCAGACTTCATGAGAGGTCATTCGTAAGGGCACCGTATAGTTCGATTCTATTTTGGGGTGTAACATTGTGGTTGTTCCCTTTCCCTCGACTGCTCGAGAAAAAGAAGTGGAAGAGGCATCTTCCATTCATATCGATTTAGGTTTTCTGCACCATATTTAGATCTTCCTCTTCTTCGATTCGGAATTCCCAGCAAATCCTTGACTCCTCGAATACAATGGGATTTCACACCTAGCGAATCTTTCACTCTACCTCCTCTTATTAAGACCATAGAATGTTCCTGCAAATTATGACCTTCGCCTGGAATGTGAGCAAATATATCATGTCGATTGCTCAACCGTACTTTGGCTATCTTACATGGAGCTGAATTAGGTTTTTTCGGTGTTCTCGTTGAAAGACGGGGGCGTATTCCTTGCTTCTAGGGACATTGATCCGAAGCTCGAGTATGGTCCGTGCGCCGTTTTTCTTCTCTACCATGACGAATCAATTGATTTAATGTGGTCATCGCTCTTTCCTTTGTCCTTCCCCCCTCTTTTTGCCCTCTCACTAGTTAGTGATTACTCCCGATCCAAAGCACCCCTTTTCCATTCATAGAGAAATCCAATCGTCAAAATAAATAAAAAGGCCATCATGGACCAAGATCCAAACAGATCAATCTTGTTGAGAGGTACTGCCTAAGGAAAAGAAAAGGTGACTTCCGGATCAAGGATAATAAATAAAATGGAAACAAGATAAAATCGTATATCGAAACGACTTTTGGCATCACCGGAAGGATCGAAACCACATTCATAGGCCGACAATTTTTCTAGATAGGTTGAACTATTAGAAGCAAATGGAAAATGAAGACCGAGTGGGATCAAAGAAACTAGAAAACTGATCACTAAATAGATACAAATAGGTGCAAATTCTGACATCACCACAACCCACTTGTTGGTTCTTTCGCTCCTTGATCGCGGAACGGCATACCGAAAAAGAAAAGAAGAAGAAGAAGAAGAAGAAGAAAAAGCCCATTACGAAACCTTCACTATCAAGTTCAAGATAATGAAAGAAATTACAATTAGAAATTTAGCCGGATGAAGATCAGAAAAAAGCAGCACTCAAACGAGGCGGGAGATCCATGTGAAGTAGACCTACAATCCGATAAGGAGAGATTCAATCAACCTTAGAGAGGAAAACTAGGGATTCCCGCATAATCAGGTAGCCTCGCGGCAATTCAATCTCGAAACACAACCACAACAATCAAACAGAAAGACTACGGCGAAAGCACAACAGCATCTCCACCATCTTGCACAGCCGGAGCACAGACCCAAACCCACTAATCCCCTCTCAGATTAGATATAAGTTAGTTCAATGATAGATAGGTCTTTAACAAAGCAAAATCAAGAAGGAAATACCTTAGCATCTTACTGATTCGTATGAAATTAGCATTATTTTCCCGATTTTGAACATCACTGAGATAGGCTTAGCAACGAACCATTGACTGTCCCTTGGTTCGGGAGGGAGAAGTTTATTCATTAAATGGATGGAGCTTTATTTGTTTGATCTAGTAAGGGGGGTGTTAGAAATAAGCCACTGCCCGACGAAACTGCAGTTTACAAGTGACCCGAGACATCGAGCGAAGAGCTCCAATGTGCTCGGAGCTACGCGGATGCCTCGCATAAGCCGGATCAACTGACAATGGCATTCTGGAAACTGTTGGGCCAGCCACAATTGGTTTAATGTCTTTCTGTCTGTCTGTCTGGGTGCGTATGGCGAGAAAGCCCCTACTCCTAACAAGTCGGCTGACAAAGAGGGTTGAGTCCTCTTTTTCCCGCTTTCACCTTCGATTGCAAAGGGATTTGAGACCGAGGTTCAATTTGCTTCTCTCTCTCCGGCGAGGTTTGAACTTTGCGTGGTGGGAAGGCCCTTGCAATTCGCATCTTCCTATCCAGCAAAGAAAGTGAAGGGGAGCAGACAGCAAGTTGGAGGACACTGCAGAACCGCGTGATTGATCCATGCCATTCCCTAATTGAACCACAAGTTGTAAAGCCTGAAGAGCCTCAGCCCCTACCTTTCTATTTCCAAAAATGAAAGCTGACTAACAATCGCTCGGTTTTCTTATTAGCTTGGGATTGGATGTTTGAAAGACAGAACATCTATTAGAAGGCAGGTAATCCCTGGGGAATTCCTATCGATTTCGGATAACAATCCATCTTTCTCGCTTTCGCTCTTTTTCCCAATCAATCGCGAGGGTTACGGACATCATAACGCAAGCGCCGGAATCAAACAGAACGTTCGAGGACGAAAGAAAAATGCTTCATGGGGAACTCCTTTCATGTCGGCTCGTGCCGGTTAGACGTCGGCCATGAAATCCAGCACTATACCGAGCGGATCCCAGACATTCCTCGGGAAAATGGAACTATGCGCGATTCACGAGAGAATCGCCTGAAGCAAGGTATGGCATTTAGGGTCTAAACGCGGGGAGAAATCTTTCTTCATAGATACACAAGACATTCATTGCTGCTGATCTAAAAAAGATCTTAGCCAAAGGGCTTTAGCAGAAGTTTTTCATTCCCGATCCAACCGTTTCAAAAGTCAAAGTCCACCAACAACCAACCGGTTACCTTTGTAAATGCGCTAAAACAAGCCTCTCTATAGGTTCTCCTTTCGTCTCGTTTCGAATATTCTAGTATCATCTATAATTAGTAGCCAGATCGTCTGAAGCATGAACAGGATCACCTTTCTTTGTTCCGAAGGCCTAGCGAGTTAAGCTAGTTCCTTTTCTTTCTCCGGACCGATGACTCGCTTGTTCAGTACTGCTAAATATTATAGGAGGAGCCTCCTCAATCAAGACTACCAGTAGTTTCAGTTGTAGAATCTCGTGCTAGTTTAGTTAGGTTGTGGTTGGATTGGCTGCAAGCGGAACGTAGGCGCTTTAGGTTAGGTGTGTGTTGACCATGCACTCTCGCGGAAGGAATGGAATGTCGTATTTCTTATATGGGTGGTGTGGTGATTGACCTCAATGCTAATGGTTATCCCCAAGGTTCAACGAATGAATCAAGCTATGATCGTACCTAGCTAGGGATGATGGTCTTACTCTTCTGTCTCCAAGCCGGCCATAATAGAATAGAATAGATAGGCGAAGCTGCCAATAACATAGCTGTCTGTTCTCGCCTATCGATAGATAGTAGGTTGCTTCCAAGCTCAAACCATTGGAAACGGAATTGCTACTTTCTTCTTCTTATTGATAGAATAGAATTAGAATGGTATTCCCCGCCCCTGTCAAATCTAGTCTAGGGAGAGAGAGAACTGGAAGAGAGAAGGAACAAAGATCTGATAAAAGGATTATCAAGTCTAATGGGAGAAGAATGGCTGACCTTTTGAAAGAATACAAGGATGCCTTCCAGACTCCAAAATCTAAAGGCGCTAGATGGACTAACGGCAAGAAAGTGCCCCTATGTGTAAAACCTTGTCGCGGGAGAGTCTTTCGCCAATGAGAATACAGAAAGTTTTTGGGCAAGACAAGAAAGGAACTAGGGGATAAGAGCAGATTGCTGGCGATGACTTGGTGAAGGGAATCTATGAGAGAAGGTTATCGAACCGGGTTCCGACCGAATAGAGCGTAGAGCAACGAGTTCAGTCGAACAGCATAATGAGTCTAAGGGCAGAATCAAGCTTGAAAGGAATGGGCGTACGTAGGCTTAACTTAATAGTGAACACCGCTTCTCGATATGAAATCAATGACTTAAAAGACAGATGCCGAGAGAAAGAGACTGATATATTACGTTGCGAAGAGAGATCGAAGACGCAAATTTTCTGACGCTGTGTGGGCACTGGATGGAAAAGACAGAGAAGAGAACAACCCACCGGAAGGGCATACCTCAGGAGCACCCCCGTCAAACATCGAGATGCATGAAGCCGACCTATATCTCGAAAGAAAAATGTCGGAAAGGAAAATGAAAAATGAAAGCCAAAATCCGGGGAGTGTAAGATACGTGGACGGGGAGCAGCCGAACGCAGGGGCTTCCAGCAGTGATAGCTGCCCCCACCAGATGGGCCGCCCAAACCCTAGAACTAACATTTCAATTGGAAATCCACATCGGATCGCGGCAAGATGCAAAAGGCAGACTGAAGCTCCGGATCACAAAATGCAAGACAACAAGGGGCAAGCAAACCAAGCGCTTGCGCAAAAGAAGAAGCGAATCAAATGGAGACATGGAGAAGAAAAGAGAGATTTTCGAGTCGGCAAGCTGGAAGCAACAACGGTGGAAAAGCCGTTGCGCGCAAGCTTGTAGTTTAGGGGTCTCGTAGGGGTGCCCTTTTCGAAAACGGATATCCTTTCTAAGATCAGCTTTTTGGAACCCTAGTTTTGGAGTTTTCCCCAACCTATACCCTTACTAGTAAATCAAAAAAAGGAGCTTACCTTTTTCAGCTGCATTGCACTGCCGCATAAACAATGGATCTGCTTGCTGGGCTGGATGAGTTACCTTCTATCTATTTGGCCTCTGTACTAACTAGTAGTGGAGTGGCTTGCTACTTTCAATCATCAAAGGAAAATGGAGCAAGGGAGAAAGAAGTTGTCCCCACTTTTATGGTAACCCGCCACCGGTCATCTAGAGTGCTCCGCCCACCACCGCATATCTAGAGAAAGAGGGAGCGGGGAAGGAAGGAAGAACAACCGTTTGACTTTGGCACATGAGCTGGGGGGTTTGGCTAGGTAACATAATGGAAATGTATCGGACTGCAAATCCTGGAATGACGGTTTGACCCCATCCCTGGCCTCGAGGAGTAGCGAGCTGCACGGAACGATCATTAACCAAAGGGGGCTTCCCAACAAAGGAAATCAAAAGACAACATTCTGGAACTTCCAAAAACCAAAGAAATGCAAGATACATGAGAATGAGCTTTTTACGTAACCCTTCCATAGAATGAATTCAGTAAGGGTAGAATACGCCCCATGGTCGATTGAAGGTCCTGTGCCCCTTTCACTCCAATCTATCTGACCTTCAATCCATCTTTCTTTGTCTAGCCAGCTCATAACCAAATTTTAGACCAGGCTAACACAAACAACCTTTTTCGTTTTGGTTGAGGAAAAGGAAGAAACCCCAGCGACCAAGCACTTCTGCCGCCAAAAGTGGAGACTGAACAACCAACCGCCAAGTTGTCGAGGACACGTCTGAAAAGGAGGCGGGCGCCCTATCTATCAGTTTACCACCCTACCCACTAATGGACTATGAGGGAGTGGGCAGGCGAACGGGAACCTGCCGAGAACCCGAACCGCTAGACTGACTGGAATACTCCATTTCATTAGGGTCGAGGATGGATGAAACCAATCATCATCGCCAAAGTCGGGAAACAGACCACTACGCAATGACTAGGACTCATGTATGAGGAGTTTGTGAGCTACCACTCATGCAGAAAGACCCACAACTCTCGAAGAGGAAGAGGACACCAACCGCCCGAATCACTGTAGCAAAACCTCCCTTTACTCAATGGATAGCCCTTAATTCAAGAGAAAAAAGAAGAAATGAGGGAGAAACTAGTGATGATTGCCATGAATGCAACCTTCGAGGACATGTACAATCTGGGCCCCATAACTCAAGCACGAAATCCATGTTGAGTCAACAATCAATCATCGAGAAGGGAAGGGCACCACCAAGCGAGATCGAGACCAGCACCTTGCCCTTGGATAGGGTTCCAAACCTGCCTTCTTCAAATATCCAAAAAGGTCGGACTAACAAGCAAGAAACGTCGACCTTGATAAGGGGGGGCGCGCTAGCTTACTAATAATAGTGGGCTTTTTCAGCTTGACCAGAATCCATTCTATTTATAGAATAACAGAAATGCTACTTACTAGTCGAAACTCGGAGAGAGAGAGGGGACTCTTTCATACCTGCTAACTCCTAGGATGAGAAGTAGGTCCCTTGTTTTTGGCAGGAATAGTTCTAGCCTTTGTTGGCACTCGGTAGAGTGAGTCTACTTAGCGAACTGGCAGGACGCATCGATTGATCCATATGAAGTGGGAAGTGGGAAGTGGGACATCAAAAGAGGTGAAAGAGGAAAGAGGGAAGTGGGAAGTGGGAAATGGGAAGTGGGACATCAAAAGAGGTGAAAGAGGGAAGTGGGAAGTGGGACATCAAAAGAGGTGAAAGAGATAGTGAAGGGAGAAGAAATTCATTAGTTGCTTTACATGAAGGAAGAGGAAAGAAAAGAAGACGAAATGAGAAGTAGAAGTAGAAGTCAATCCTATCGAAGAATCAATCATCGTTCACTGTCAGTCAATCCTCAAGATTCCTTCTTTCTCGTTCACTCCGGAACTGGGAGCTTCTTTAACTTCTCTTTCTCCTCTCCCTACTTATTCTTTCATTTACTCTCTTGAACTAGGTAAAGCATATGAAGTAGCTCTTTTATTGACCGAGATAATTTGTAAGTCAATCCTCAAGATTCGTTATCTTTCACCCGGCTCTGCTTCTTTCTCTTCTCCCTCCGGTAAAGGAGATTCAATCCTTCTTTCAGCTATGATTCTTTCTCCTCTGACTCCTGCCCCTTTCTCTTTCTTTGACTGATTTGATTGAACTCGGTCGGGTGGGTGAACTAGGTGAAGTATCTAATTCATTTACGAGACAAGAATATCTTCTTCTTTCAGCTATGATTCTTTCTCCTCTCACTCCTTCCCTTTCAAAGACTGTATGTAAAATGGCTGGCTGCGCTCCTCTCTCTTTCTTCATTGGGTAAAGCCGCTAATTCATTTACTCTGTCCCTGAAGGGTAAACAATTTCATTGCCTTATTCATTCGATTCAACAAGATGCATTCTTCGATTCCTTCTTGAACAGTAAACTCGGCTAAATCACTTCTTCACGAACCAGATTGAACTCTTTGACTCTCCTCTCTGGTAAGGGAGCTACTGAATTTCATTTACATGGACTCTCTCCTATAAAGACTATCGATTCCTTCTCCTTCACTCGATCGGATATTCAATCCTTCTTTCACTCCGGAACCCTATTTATTCCAAGACTCGGTTGGTAATTATTAAGTCAAGCCGAAACCTCAACCCTCTCCCTTTCTTTGGTCTCGCGTCTTCGACCCTCTCCTTTGTCGAGCGTCTTCGCCTCTTCGCCCGTAGGGTCTCAGGGCTTCGCCCCTTCACCTCGTAAACTCGGTTTCATGTCTTCGACCCTTTTCCTTCTTGAACTCCTTTTCCTTCTGGAACTGCTGAACACCTATTTCTTCTCTTCTCTTTCTCATTGTTGATTGAACTCTTTTCTTTTCCTCGCTCCCTCCTGTAAGAAGGATTCGTTATCCTTCCCCTGACCCTCTACTGCCTTCAAAAGCAAGTTCAGACTGAACTCCTTATTCCTTCTTGTTTAGGAACTAAACTTAATAACTTCTCCCTGATTTCACTGCTTCACTACTGGATGGCCTATTACTGATGAACCCTTCAAAGACTCGTCTCCCTACCGGTCTCGCTCTTTCACTCGTATCCCTCTTTCTTGGTCTCAGAATTCCATTACCTTCCCCTATACGCATTTATTCTGGAACTTCTCTTTCTCCAATTCCTTCTTGAACTATCGAGTGGAACTATCTCTTTTCTTTTCAACCCCAGTAAAGAAAGACGAAAGAGTTTACGAACGGAACTACTACACCTATTCTTTCTTGAAGGAGGTAAAGCCTCAGTAGACGAAAGATGAATTCTCCTTCATGAACCTCTCTCTATTATTTATTAACTTCCCCCAAACAAGCACCTATTTCTTTCTTCTCTTCCCCTTTAGCTGGCGAAAAGAGAGAGACTGGATTAGACTGAACCTGATGGAACTCTTTTACTTCCTCTCCAGTAAAGAGTCAAGATTAAGGATCCTTCTCTTTCAACCACTCTGTCTTCGTCTTGTCTTCTTCCTTCATTCTGCTATCCTTCTCCTGTCCTTTACCCTTTATCTAACTAACCTGTCCTTTCTTTACAGCTCCAGAAGCTCATGAACCTGAACCGTCACCTTTATTCCCTTCCCTTATTGATGGAGCAAAACTCGGGCTCACTGCTTCGCACCTTTCCGATTCATTCTCCTGTAAAGAAAGACCCTTAATTAAGAAATTGACGCTTTACCCTATTTTTGTGGCTATAATATTAAGTCAATCCTCAATCCTCTCTCTTCATTCTTTAACTGATCTTTCTCCTGTCCCTACTTCCTCCTGAGCGCTACTTTTCCTTCTTGCACTCGGTCTCTCTCATTGCTTTGTTTGCTCTTCCTTATTCTTTCCCTAGGTGTAAGTAAATAGGCTTTGATTATCTCCTTATTCATTTTCTTCTCCTTTTCCCTCAGGATCTAGAACTGCTGGCTGAACCTATTTATTCATTGTCTCTGTTCTTTCCTTTTCCTTCTTTATTTGTTCTCTTTTCTTTTCTTTCACGCTCCACTCAACTGTAAACCATTATTTCTTTCTTTCTTTCTTTCTTTATTAACCTTTTATTTTCTTCCCTACCTGCTTCTTTCTCTCCTTCCCCTCGTATTCCAGTATCTCGCTTTCTTTCTTTCTTTTCGTGTTGTTGCAATGGTACCTCGGTACTAGCTTTTCCACGGAATGAGTAGATGAAAAAGTACAAGTTCTATCTGATCTGAAACTCCATTAAATTAAGAAGATAAAGCCCAAGGGTAAAGGCCGAAAACCTCCTAAACTTTGGAAGTCTGAATACGCGCTAAAAGCATTTCCAACTTCAATTGCGAAAGGAATGAATTGACTTCGAACAACAAAAAGGGGTGTGAGCACTAACTCTGACTTTTGTGTTTTGATAGGACTATTCGTAGGGGCTGGCTGGAGTGGACAATACTCATTATGCAAGATTTCCAAAGCTCAGGCTATCCCACTTCCTTCTATCGCTCCTTGCTCGCTCCCCGGCATACCGAAAAAAGAAGAAAACCAACCCTTATTCGAATTCGGACCGATTATTCAAGCCTATCCTCTTTAGTAAGGGCCTTGTAAGGCGAATCAGAGGTTCTACTTGCATGTGTAGGATATCGATGTGGAAGTTGACTTCTTTCCCTCCAGGCAGACCGTCAAGCTTGTATGAGTAGTGAAGAAGAAGAAATGGAGAATGCAATCACCTCCACCTTTCATCTATTAAGTCCGTCTAGGCAGTATAATCGAGAATGAGCAAGACTGTGTTGTAAGGCCTTTCCCTTGCTATCTTAGACCAGCCTAACTTGTCCCATTCCTTCTTCCTCAATGGGGAGTAATTCCTCTCTCTCTCTCTTCTTTACTCCTGGTTGGGGTGGTTGGTGGGTCTTGGGTTGGTGTTTGTAGAGGGTACACGGTGTAGCAAATTGGTTATGTATGGTGATTGTAGTGAATAGGGACGAGTTGAGGGGTAATGTGATTGATTGATTGATTGATTGTTGATATCTGGGTGTGTACCCACTGACCATATGGGTTTCCCCCCTTCGTTTTGGAATTTTCCATTTCTACATCTCTTTCTTCCCTTTCTTTCCATTTTGTTGGTCACGGTATTATGCCTAAAGAGTAGACACAGGATAATAAAGAATCTAAGCTCGATCCACCTTCACACAATTTCTTGAGTTAGACATAAACTAATATAGACAAAGGCACAAATAGTGCTTCCATCCTATCTATTGAAAACAAGAGCATAGAAGTAGCTGAGAGGCAGGGTAGCTGACTTGCACTTCTTACTCCCGTATGTTCTTCTGTCTTTCTCTGTTTTTGCCAATTAGAAGAAGGACTTGGGTAACCCCTGACTCAAATCCACCCGTTAGAGCAGCGAGCTGGTTACTGAAGTCGAAGGCGGGAAAGGGTTAATGCGTAGAGGATTGGACGGGCTTGCTTTAACCGAAGGGGGAGAAGGGAGTACGAAAGACTGATTGGAAGACAGGGCCTTTAAAAAGGATACAAAGAAAATGGAAGAGAAGGACGATGGTGAGGATATATCCATAGTAATGAGAACCCCTGCTATTTTCCTTAGGCTTGAAAGTAGCAGTAACCGTCTATGCTCTCTTTACTGGAGTTCTTTCTTTCCTTTCTGGAGTTCACGATTCTTTGATAGCTCGCTGCGTGACTTTGTGGCTATTAAACCCTGAGGGATGTAACTAACTAAGGCAGTCTGGATGCTAGCCAAGAGAGGAGGTTTGTTTTCAACGCCTTGCCTGCAAGCTTTATGAGATTGTAGCTTTCTTCTATTTACAGCTCTAAAATGGATAGCTTGATAGGTATAGGTGGAGTCCTTCCTGAATTTGAGTCTCAACACTTATAAGTTCTTTAGTATGAAGGTAGCTTGGCTCACTTCTGATAGTAAACGTCAGTCTCATTCCCTGGGCTAGGATCGACTACTGTTGGGATTGGTCCGGCAGGAAGGAAAGCTAATCGGCTAAGCAAAGAAGGTTCTTCCACATACTTAAAGAGTTAAAGCATTGAAATGCAGTCATGTGTCAACGCCTTTCTCCATTAAAGAAGATCGGAGTCATGAACAGTAAAAGCAGATTCTTGGCAAAACCTTGCATCAAGAGGAAGTCCTGCACCTGAAAGTGGAATCCCAAAAGTTGGAATCCCTAAAGAAAGGCTCATCCCGCGCTTGGGTACTTCATTTTGGTTATTCAATCTCTCAAGAAAAAATGGTTGAATCTTAGTCAACTGAGTGAATGCAGAATGATTGATAGCTCTTTACAAGCTCTTGGCACTCTACTTGATATGAATCCAACAACTGATCACGTGCATGTACCCGAAGGACCGATTACAAGAAGCAAGGTTAAGAAGATTCAAGAGGCCTATACATTGCATCTTCAAAAGCTAGCTAGTGTACCGGTTGAAACAAGGACTTTTGTGCCCAAAAATCTTTATAACATTCGCATATCAAATCAAGAAGATAATGGAGTGGCTGATATTGGAAAATAATTAGAAGACTTGCCTTTGGTAGTTGAATTACCAATCAAGGAAATTATTAATGCTTTATTTGCTTCCTTTTATATTTAATAGCATTTATTAATAGTTTGTATGAATTGCCTTATATTCTTCAATTTGTATTTAATAGCATTTATTAGTGATTGGTGGCTGAACCATATTATGTTAGGGTTACCTTTTAGACCTATTTAAAGGCATGTAATACTCATGTTTGAGAGATTTTGAGTTGAATACAGAAAAAACCTTTATGTTTTCTTGATACCCTTTTGGTGTTATTCTTTTTCAAATCTTGCTTTAGGTTTGATGTTTAAACCGATTCATTGAATTAGTTTTGATCAAGCTAATTCTGGAGTGAATTGTCTTGGTATCTAAGAGTGACCATCATAGATTCCAAGTTCGATCTAAGAGTCATTCATCTTCTAACCAGCTCTTGGTTGGAATCAATCCGTTAAGTTAGCTTTCTCTGTGAGCGTTTTGCAAGGATTCTAGAAGGACCTCTAGCTTTGCAAATTCCAGCATTGTAGGCGCTTATCATTTGGTATCAGAGCATTTGGTCGACGTTCTTTGGCCGCTCTAGAGGTGAAATATCTTTACTATTATTTTTTTGTATCAATCTTGTTTCTCTCTCAGATTATCGAAAAAAAAAAAAAAAACCCAGACTTTACATTCTTGACCTAGTACCAAAAGCCCACCTTTGAGTGTTAAACACGAGCGTCCCTGAGTAAAAATTTTGTGAGAAGTGTTGAGAGGCCCCTTGATAACAATGTCACATAATGGAGAAGCAGTACCACCAGTTCCAGATCTTAATACAACCATTCTTCAAGCAATTCAAGGTATGATGAAAATGATGATGGAAGATAGACAAGAAAGAAGGGCGCAACAACAAAGACAAGAACGAACATTACAAGAAGATGAAGGTATAGTAGTACAAGAAAGACAAGTTGATGGTAGATGGAGAGGAAGAAATAACCATGCAACTATTATGCAACCTAGAAGGATGGAAAGAGTACATGAAGATAGAGATGGGGGAGTTAAACTCAAAATCCCGCCCTTTTGTGGAACGACAGATTCTGAGGCATACTTGCAGTGGGAAAGAAAGATAGAGCATGTGTTTGATTGCAACACCTATAGTGAAAATAAGAAGATGAGACTTGCTATTGCCGAATTTACCAATCATGCTAGTGATTGGTACCAACATCTCAAATCCGAGAGAAGAAGAAAAGAGGAGAATCCAATAGAGACATGGGAAGAACTTAAAGAAGTCATGAGAAAAAGGTATGCTCCAAAACATTATGAAAGAAATTTGAAAACTAAATTGCAAGGTTTGAGGCAAGGAACAAAAAGTGTGGCGGAATATTATCAAGAGATGGAAA